GTCCTCTTGCACTGTGTTTTCCGAACCTTTAGATGTTTTTGGAGCTAGTTCCTGCTTTTCTCTACTCAATTCCAAGTCGTTACCGTCTCCAACGAGGGGTTGGCTCTCGAGATCAATGTCCACGTCAACTTCGAACTCCACAAATCATCCTCTACAGCATCATTTACCATCTTGATTGGGAAACTTGGTCTTTGTTGTCGTCGTCAGAATGATCTCCGTCGCCAAGATTGATGATAGACATCTCCAGTGGAGACGCCAGCCACAGACATTCGAGAACGATGTGATGTGAACAGAGAAAAAATTGAGATCACATCACATACTTGCGGCCTGTTCCGAAACTCCGCCTCAATAATTTCCTGCTAGAGAACCGCATGCCATAATGCGGGAGACGGTCAATTGAAAGCCTGTTGTTGAAGTATGCAATGCACCTACGATCTTCCTTCTGATGAAATGCCAGTGGGTCATAGTATAACAGCGAATGGCCAGCTGTCTATTTTTTGGTCGTGTAAACCAACATCCGAAATAAATGTCAGATATTCGGATACTTTGGTGAGGAAGCAATGCCTTCATGCCGACACAACAGGGCTCGGAAGTTTAGTGCAGGGATTAACAATCTAGGTGGCTGGGGGACAAAAGTACGTATTAATTAAGTCGACTGTCGGCCTATCCGGCGGGGACATGGGAGTTAAGAGGACGAAATTCGCCATACGGTCATACCGTAGCATCAGGGCTTGCCAGATCAGGTTGTGAGGTTGTACACCCTCAAGCAATCAAACAACCTCAAACAAACGCACAATCAGGCAATCCCAATGTCCCGATTTCCACAAGGTCATTATCTGTTTACATGCATGAGAACATTTTCAGAGGTTTACAAGAATTGGGAAGGACAATGACCACAACCTCACAATCCCAAACAACCAGAAGTCAATTTACTGATGAGCAATGGAAATCAAGTTTGGAGAGCGTGGACGATATTGTGACTCCACTCAGCCCCACCGTATTGCGTGAATTTAGACCCAATCCGGACATGTTTTGATGGACAGTAGGAGTGGAGCGGAATGAATACAGAGGTCAATACAAATTAAGTCATCAGTGATTTACGCAACCCGAATACTGTTTCCAAAATGAGGTGGCGAATAGCAACATACTGTAGTATTTTAATCAGTTCGGACGGTGACGCGTCACAGGCCCCAAAATTTCCGAAAATTTTTCGGACATCACAGGGTCACAGAGGGCCCGTCCGAAAGGGTCCCCTGGAACGAAAATTTCCGCGTTTTTTAGCTGGAGCGGTCCGCAGGGCCGATTTGTTGAGGCTCAACTTAGTGGTGTCAACCACAAGTCAACCATGATTTGCTTCCGCTGATTGGCAGATTCGTGTTTGGAGCCCTCGTCCGTCTCTCGTACTCAAGGGTCGTGCATTGAGAGTAGTCTAGCCGTGTATGCGTAGATACGGATTTGGCGCGCGGCGTACGAAATTTTTCGGATGGCACACTGTCACCGAGGGATCGTCCGAATGGGTACATTCGGACAGGCTTGTCACACCTCAAACCCCTGTCCGAACTGATTAAAATACTACAGTACCACCCTACGTGGGAACTCTGCCAAAATGTATCGTGCTGATTATCTCTTCGGTGTTCCTATGGCTATGTATCCCCAGACGGTGACGTGCATTCCAAATCAAGCCTCAATCTTGCCAACTACCCAGATTGGGAAAGGTGCCAGGGTTGGCGTTTATAAGGAGCTTACTCGTTCCGGTAAACAGAGCCATCCTTCCTGTCAGGAAAAAAAAACATGACACAAGATCCCAATGATGTGCGCTCGACGATTGGCGCGGTCCTTGCGGGATGCCTGGTCTCTGTCGGGTGCGGCGCAGTCCATACATGCTGATGACTCGAATCAAATTCCTCGCAGGCTCTCTGCTGTGGTAGGATTTCAAACCTTCCTCTACTTTCAGATATTTCCTATGGACTCGCTCAAGTACAAGATTATGGTGGGTGTTACACCTTCTCGTATATGCGCGTGTTCACCGAGCCACAGGTTTTATGGGTCTGGTGCGAAGCGTGCCTGTTGATCGTAAACTCCACATCCCAGCTGAAGACGCTACAGGGTACTCGATGCGGCGCACACCATCCTGCTCTGTGCCGTAATCTGGCAGTATGCTGTGGTCAACTTCGGCAACCCGGATTTTATCTTCGAGGCCAGGCCGTTCGTACTGTTCACTTTAAACATATGAGTAATGAGATAACTGTGGAACGGACAGAACACTTGTAGCGGTACACATTTCTTTGCATCGCGACTTCTGGGTTCAAACGATTTCCTCTTCAGGTCAGCTTGACAGTGAGTGTGGTCACCTCATCGACAGTGAATGGGTATGTGTGCAGCCTTATACTTTGGAAGTGTGTGCTGACATTCGCGACGCAGTTTCTATGGGTGGAGGATACAAAAGAGTCTGTAGTCGGGGTCAGGACATGAATTTCCAACTGACTTATTGAATAGTGAGCAACAGTAACTGGGCGCTTGCCAGCTTGATTGTGAGTCTTCCTGACCCCGCAGATATTCCAAATATTAAGATTTTATGCAGTCCATATTATTGTTTGCGCGGGCAGGTATGTAAGATTCCTATGAGCTGGATGTCGAGTCGGCTAACGGTTTTTCACCTGATAGGGTTGGCACTCAGTGCGTGCTGAAGTATCCAAACTTGCCCTACTAAAAGCCACGTTTCAGTTAGCGCCCTTGAGTTGTACGTCTCTCTGGATTCCTCCGACACGAACGGTGCCCAGTCTTACACAATTCGGAATGCAGGATACTGTCTAAGACAATTCCCAACTTCATTGTCAAGTTTGACGTTTGGCTCCTTTTATATCCATATCTGAGGACTTTCTCACCAAGCTAAATAGGGAGCATTGACCGCCACCATGTCCGTTCCTTTGGCCACGGATACCGTCATTTCTTTGGCGCGGTATTACTACCTTAACAACCTTCAGCAAGGATATCCGAGGTGCGACGTCGACGTGGCAAATGGGCTCTTTGACTGAACAACTCCTTGCGAGCAGCACCCAAGAGATGGTGGATGTCGTGGTGGTCTTCACTATAAATGACGGCTGTCTGCAATGTGAACAGTCCCATGTCAATTTGTTCTCCGGATTGCTGACTGATTTTAGGTGCCGCTCTCATTGCCGCACTTATATGTGTATTCTGTTCCCCTCATTCTTACAGCTACATATAACCCTGTTCTCTGTCTAGAAGCTGCATTTGCCCAATAGCTTGATCTGGTTCGGTATCTTCTGCACCACCCCAAAACGTAAGTCCGCTACCAACTAAAGATCCACGACTCATCCGCGGCACCCAGTGTACTCCAACTCCGTGCTTGCCACGTAGGTTTCCGGGACCGCTTGTCCCATCACGCCCACCGATCTGACCCTGCTTAGGCTGAACCTCCGCAACTGGTACCGCCACCGGCAGCGGCCAATGGGTATTTCGTTGACGTATCAACGTCCGCAAACGATCCGCGATGCCGTGAACATTACAACGGGCCGCACGTCGCCAAACAACTCGCTTCAGAGATCGAAAGAGGTCGGGGGCATGTCGGTGCGCAGCCACTTTGCGTTGCTGTGTAGCGCATGGCTTATGACGACGGCGAGGCAGACAATGGAGGTGTTCGTGGACCAGCAGATCGAGTACAGTGTCGCGGTCACCCCGGGGCTTGGAGACAGCGAGCCTACTGCTGTGGAGTTAATCTCGCTACCAGCGACCGTGTGTGACAAGAGTGGAGATCCCAGGGCAAAGACAACAAGTGTATAAGTACGTCCCACACTCCCTACGTAGGGCCGGAGTTTGAGGGCTAGTCACTGACTCACTAGCCTGGCTTGGGCGTGGGCGTGATCTGGCTTGCGCCTTTCCACACTGTGTATATCTACTGTAAATAGTAACATGTTCAGAGCTTTGTGTTCTATTGCCAAATATCATTGAAATCCTTGAGAGCCCATCCCAGGTGGCGCTCGGCGACACTTTGATGCCATCAATCATTACGAACGTCGGTATTCAAGCAAAACCAGTAGCACGAAAATCAATGAGAATGTTGTCCTGCTAATTTCAACTAACTCCATACCCTGAAGTGTGTGGGGTACAGAATCTGAGGCAAGTTCAGATTTGTTGCCAAATGACATCTTGCCCTCGTGCAGCCACCACTGTTCAGAATATTGTACGTGAGTTCTTTTGTGTCAACCGATGGCATATCTAACCCTCTACATATACAGGTTTGGGCTGAAAAATTGGGTACTCCAAAACGTCTGCTATCTTGCCGAAATTCAATATTGTTCCACATGTTGTAGCCTAGCATATTCTTCCTCTTGTGCCAGTGCGCCCCATTGCACACTAGTTAATTCTTGGGTGCGGCAACGGTCACGGTGTGGACAGGCACATCGAAGATGTTTGCACCGGGTTTTATTTATCTCATTTGTTCGGTAATGTGGGGGCGAAGACAGTGCACCAGCCACCTGTCGCGGTGTCGGCGGGTTGCAGCGCTGGGGCGTCCCTGTGATTGGAGTCGGAAGAAAGCAAAACTTAAGGATGGACGTGGTGGGAGGAGCCGAACTTTAACATCACTAGGAGGAACCACCGCATCGAGTAACACGCTTCGCTGTGCCGTACTGTTGCATGGCGCGCTGCGGCGATTCCTGAATGGTGCCGACGTCGCAGGGCACCCGGCAAACGTTAAGGGGCGCGCCGTGTGAAGCCAATCTGTACCGCGATCTGGTGCCGCACGCAAATAACCATAGCGCAGGTACCAGAACTACAAAGAGCATGTCAATGCCCGTGGCGACATGCACGGACATCATGATGGTAGCCGATGTCTGCGCGTGACAGCTAGCATCCACGTGCGCATACGGTCCGGAAGCAACGCAAGTTGACCAGGAGTTCCCAGTCTGTGCCAAAGTCTACTGTACAAATATAAAAAAAGACGGGAGCAAAAAACAAAATTATAAAAAAGTTCAGGAAAATGGACTAATCCGGAATTGAACCGGACACCTCTCGCAAATACAAGAACACGCAAATGCTAAGCGAGCGTGATAACCAACTACACCATTAGCCCTTGCACGTAGTTGTAATCAACACCGACAAATGGGCCCGTGCTCGATGCCAGGCCCGGTAGAGCAGATCCGGCTAATGGTGTAGTTGTGGTTATCACGCTCGCTTAGCATTCGCATGGACATGATGTCTTGTGTTTGCGAGAGGTGTCCGGTTCAATTCCGGATTAGTCCATTCCTTTTCCTGCCTTTTTTCACCCTGTGTAGTTGTACTATACAGTTTCATCAGCCCGTCCTGTGCATGGAATTCCATTTTGCATTATTTCGGAGCCCTGCACTCACCTACGCTCAAGTTTCTTCTAAAATCTTATTACATAAGCCATTACCAGTGCCATTCATCCAACCGCTGGCCCGCCGCGAACCAATGAGCACTGAACAAGTGTCAGTGCCACTACCTGACCCGACGCTTCCAGCACTGGCACCCAAGGCTCGGTCTGGCCACTTGCCAGCCGCGGGAATGCATCCCAGGCACTGGCACGCCCTAGTGCCATTAAAGCGGACGCAATTTGCGCAAAAGCGGATGCAAACGCATGGATATCGGCAACGCAACAAAAAGAACAAGGGTTACGTTTTCAGAGAACAAAAGGATGTTTGCACTTTGTTTGGCTGCCTTGTCCAAATGCGGCCAAATATACGGAATCTCATTGTTATCGCTAACGCGGAGGATCAAGTCTGGGCGACGCGGACACCGAGCGGTGGGGGTATAAATGACCATCGCAACATGCACGACTTCCAGTCCCTCCCCGAGCTCAAGCCTCCTGCCCTCTTTCGTCTGTTGCACGTTTCTCTCTGAACGCTTCGCTCTCTTATCTGGACGACCTTTACGCATCTTTCTCTCGCACGAACTCTTCTTACGCCTTGTGAGATCTCCGCGTTCATCCCGATACCCAGCTAACGCTCTTCCATAGATCTCGCACTCTTAATCTAATCGCAGGACGATTCGCCATGTCTACCACCACCACCACCACCAACGTCATCACATTCCTCACCCTCCCCCTGCTCGGGAAGGTCTTGCCCGCGGCCATCTCTTCCGCGCAGGTCATCCTCGCGGCCTCGCTCGCATCCGTCCCCATCGGTACCCTCGCCCTCACCGCCGAGGCGCCCCCCGCGCCTCTAAAGGCTGCATGCATCGGCGCCGCGATCCCCTGGCCCGTGTGGTTTGCGACCCTCGGGGGCACGGCGCAATGCACCGTCCACCTGTTGTACGGCCCCGGCTACGTCAAGGCGCGCCTCGGCGCTGCCCCCGTCTGGCGTGCTGCGAGCGCACCGCGGCCGCTCCCTGCTGCCGCGCCGCTGCCGCAGTCGCCAGACGTCACCGCCAGCCTCCGCTCGGCGCTCCTCTCCGCGCGGCTGCGCAGCATGCGCCGCGGGCCTGCGGCTGTCACCCGCCCGAGCCCGCTGCGCGCATGCAGCTCCTCCGACGGCGAAGCCGACTCCGATTCCGACTGCGACGCCGACTCGTCCGCCTCGTCAGAGGACTCCGACTCCGACTACGACTCCGACTCGTCGTCGTCTGCGGTCGCCTCCACCGCTCCGAGCTCCGTGCCCCCTACGCCGACTGCAGCCGCGACCCCCACCTCGTGGCGCTGGCGCGCGGCGCAGCCCAAGGCCGAGCTGCCTGCGTCTGCGTCTGCGTCTGCACCGCGGGCCACAGCGACCGCCGACCCCGCCAAGAAGAACGCGACGGCGTACGTCTACCGCGGCGGCGTCACGCGCGTCATGACTGGCGGCGTCATGCTCGGCGCGGGCCCCCGGTGCTCTTGAGCTGCGCTCGCTCCGGTCCCACCCCACGACCTGAAAAACGCCCATCACGTTCCCATTTTCATTGATTCTGGACATTTGCATTTGTAACATACATAGCATATAATTCCGCAGAGCGATTAATTATCCAGTAGAATTGGTAGTACTGTAGTTGCACGCGTACGGCTGTCCCGCTTTGCATAGGAATTTGACGGGTTACAGAATCCACGCGGCGGAATCCAAGTGAGAATCCAAGTGAGCGTTGGGTGCAGTCGTAACGCAACAAGATGGATTGTGAAAGAAGCCGCAGGTGGATAGAGTTCTGGGAAGTGGTGCTATCTGGCGAAAGACAACCGTAGAGACATATTTACGCATCCATTGATTGATCAGTTATAGTGCTGCGGGCTTTTTAGGGCCCATGTCGCACTTATTAAATGGCTGGCCGTAGGTGCACAGCAAGGAGGGCAATGAGGGTGTGGATGGAGAGATAGATTCATGGCCACTGCTTGAACCACCACTATCTAAAAAATAGCGCTACGATCCATACGCTACATCGACAAATCTACTCGATAGCCCTCAGGCTCCCAAAGACCTCCACCGCGAAGTATCCCCCTTGACATACTGCACTCCTTGCGTGCAATTCTTTTTTTTTTTTTTTCCTCTTTTTTGCAATCGAGGAGCAAATAGCGAGAGAACTGGAGAGTTTAAGAGCGTATGCCGCTCTCATCCCGTTCCCTCCGGCAAACCCACAGGCGATTTGCCAGAGCTTCCGGGCACGTGCCCCGGTGATGTGAGGTCTTGGACTTGGAACCAGACCAGACGGATATCGACCGCATTCATACTTAGAGTATGATATGTGGTCGGCCTTTCCGCCAGCTCAGAATCCTGGCAAGACCGGCGCCAGTCACCATCACTACTAGCGGCTACTAGCTGATACCTACCAGAACACCGACTGATTTCGGCCAATTCTTGCCCAAGATTCGTTCTTCTTCCAGCGTTTCAACTTTTTCTCCGAGTTTGATTAACCAACGACACTTTCAGGGCTTTCTTCCCATATTTAAGGCCATCTGTCATTGCGCAGTCTATTATAATATTTTTGCAAGACTGTTATCACAACTTGCAAGGACCGAGAAGATTCAATTTTGGCGACCTACAGCTTATCTGACCTTGATCTGACCCGTTTGCCAGGAATAACAGGTCATCAGTTTGGTTGTGCTTGACAGCGGCAACCAGCAATTCAAATCACCGACACACAACGCACTCCACGGGTATGGCGGACCTAGTGCCGGTTGGTTGTCTAGGTCCGCAAAATATTTTTCCCTATGGGATTTTTTTGGGCTCAAAAGAACATTATTTGTGATGTTACTGGGTGTAATATACTCATTTGAGGTGATGACTACACCACGGGAACACCATCTATGCCCAATTGCGCCCAATATAGTGTGATCAATCAGACCCAAATCCGAGTCAATGGCAATCACGACGACACCTTCGAAAATTTTACGATGATGAGTCCTGTACGAATCCGCACGTGGTATAGACACCGATGCCATTATGAGTCCAGCCAGTGTGATCGGGCTGCGCTAAGTCTGGATCCGGCATAACTTGCTACAAGGTGTTCTGGTTGATTATGTAAATTATCATCTCAGTTGCCTCCAGTTGGGAAGTGCTCCCACTAATTAGATATGCATGGCATGCTTGTCTGCGAAAGAGCCTCCCTCGAAGTGTCCTCGCGGCGGGCGATAAACTGGCAATGGGTGGAAAACCAACATGGAAGGATATATTTCCAGTTTTATAGGTACATAATTAGAACTACATAGCTTCCTGAGGACACCTCAGAAGAACTTTGTAAATCCTATGTAGGCTGTCAAGGTTGACGAGCAACAGTTTCACTCAGTCCTCAAGTGAGCAGTTGCCTTATTGGGACGTCACGTGGTATGACGTAGGTGGTTGGTTCAACCTGAGGGTCATCAAAAACAAAAAACTGGCATAGGGTCCGGGAATCACAAAATGCCATACCCTTGACGCACTCAGGTCCATGACGCGACTCTTGACAGTACTCTTGACAAATTCTGCTTTCTTTGCCCTAGAAATGACTCTGTCCAGCAGTGGTGGCTTAAGCCCTAAGCCTTAAAAAAAGTTAAGCCTTAGTAAGGCCTTATGATAAGCCTTACGGGCTGGCCCAAAAATTCCTAAGCCCTTAAGAGTTCGGACCGACATCGGGCCGCAGAACCGGGTATCACCGGTGGCGGTGGCGTAACAAATTTTACACAGGAACGTCTCTCTCTACACGCCGATATGGGTCTCAAAGATCAATTCCATGAGCTCAAGATCAAGAAACAGAACTCCGAGTCATCGCATTAGGAGACCTACTGCAGAGGGTATGCTCAAAGCAGCCGGCACGTACGACGTGGGCGATTATGGAGAGTACGTGCCGTAGATGTTTTCTATAGATGTAGGATGTGTAGTCATGGCTAAAATGGGCGGCTGGAGTCCGTTTCAAGGCCAGCTAAAAGCGTGGGAAATTTTGGCTTAAGCCCTTAAGCTTGCCTTTAAATATTAAGTCCTAAGCCCTCGAAGCCTTAGGGGTCCCCAAGACCCAAAATTGAGGCCTTAGAGCCACCACTGCTGTCCAGGGTTGTAAGGGGAACCCCTCACTCACACGCCACCTCTGGGTCCCAATCACCGAATCACCGAACCGCCAAATCACCAAATCGCCGAGCCGGCAATTTGCCGAACCACCGACGCCACCACCCCCGCCGTCGCCAATCACCGATGCCCCCTGGACGTCATCCCCCACACCCCAGTGCCAGCTCCCGATGGCACCACGCCTGCGACCTTGCCCGCGATCAGTGCCAGCAGCTCCGCGCCCAGTGAAACATGTCTCAGATGCACGGCCTTTTAGATATCACAGGATAGGTAGACATGGGCCGCATATTTATAATGACTGTCAGGCAGAGGGGATCCTTAGACTTGACTCTCTTTGGATCCCCCTCCGCTAGGTGTGCTATTTGTATTCTAACTACTGTTTATGTATTTACTTTGGATCCCCCTCTGGACTCTTGAGTGTTCTCGGGCTGCGGAGTGCCCTTACAAGGGTAAGCTTCCTTCCCTTATCAACACAGTTTAACAGCAAGCAGGGACCGCATTGAGAAACTGGATCCTTGCTTCAAGTGATTGTCATAATAAAAAATGCTGCAGATGGATATATTTTCAATGGCAGATGGATTTAAATGCACTCGAGAGGAGCGGGAGAGTGATTAATGATGTATAGACTGTTCAAGGCATTGGACACAAAATGAGAGCACCGGACCAAAAATGTCTTTATTTGGACATTACGGGATAACCGGATCATGTCCCAAAATGGCAATTTCCTCTTTAGAGAGGGGGGAAGGGGTCTGATTTCTCTGAAAAAAAAGTTTCGAGGTCTGGTGAGGATTTCGAGGATCTGTATCCAGTAAACATCCCCCAAACTCATGTTCCAAAAGTTAGTATGAATTTTTTTTTTCACCACCCAGGAGGACCCCCTTCCTTATTAGGAAATTTCTCATCAGTGAATCCCCTTGGTTAATCATCTGTTTTTAAGTTGCAGCGGTGCGACAGGTTTCCCTTGGTTTCTGCATTTGTTTCTTATCACATTCAGTGACAAAGATTTTGTAAAGGCACATTGTTCCAACTATGGGTTGACAGTAGAAGACGGGATCTGGGAGAGGATCCAAGACTCCATTGAGGTGTGGCTGGCTGACCGCGAGTAGCTCCGCAGCTTTAGATCGCAAATTGTTGGCGCATTGTTTTGTTGCTTGGCAGGAGTTCACTCTTAATGTATCACCCATTCCAATGGGCACATGGTGTAGTGGTTATCACTCATGCTTTGCATCTTATGTAATCACTTTACGTAAGGATCTCAATTGTATGCGGTCCTGGGTTCAAACCCCAGTGTGTCCATTGGTTTTTACTTTTTTGGAAAAAACATCCTGATGGACTGTCATGTTGTCTCTCATCGCTTTTTTGATCTGAAGCCCCGGGCCCGTGAGCGCAGAAAGTCTCGGGCTGTGGATAACTAATTGGCTCCCCACTACTAACGAAGTGCCTTGTTTATAGTAGACAAGTCGGCTGACAGGCCAGCCTGTGCGGATACTGGTGAGGACCTCTGACGACGTCACAGATTTTTTGCTGCATTATAATGTCGCTCTTGCCCTCCACGACGACGGCCCGCACGCCCTCTTCTTTGGCCATGGTGATCTATGTCAGCTATGGAGCGTCCTCTCATAGAAAAAAAGAAGTTAGCACTGACGCTGAACAAAATGATTATAAGTCCGAGCGTGACCGAGAGCCGTCTAGGCCCGAAATTTGATAATGGTGTGATTGAGGTCCGAGAAGGTCCGACGCGGCCGGCCGGCTTTCACATGGATGCTTTTACGTTTCACGTGACTGATATCGCACCACGATGAAGTCATGACCGCTTTGATCTGGTGCTCAACATGGACATGAATGGTTGTGTTGTTCAAGACAGCCCCAGGGAGGTCTCTAAAAGGGCAGAACCAAAAGCTTGACAAATCGCAGAACCAGAGGCCAGCAGGACTAAGTAAGTATGAGAGCTTAGATTTGAGACAGTGAGGACCGTGTCGTCGAGAGGACAAGTCTAGGGTTTGGTGTGCGACTGTATGTAAAGCAAGACCTGCCTTTGTTGTCTGTATAGATCCCAAGATGATGTTGCCGCAACAACCAATACCACAAGGTGTTCAAACACTATTTGTCTCCAAGAATATATGTTTCCTTCAAGTTTGATATTCCATTTGAAACCTGTTACTTCAACCAATGCGGTATGCAGCTTGTCTGCAGCCAGTGGCTGTTCCAGACAGTTGGACATGTGAAACTGATAACACACCGAGCTTCAAGGCAGGAAACTCGATGGGTTAACATGCCAATCTTGTAAACTATTGTATTTCACATATGTAATATAAATGCCGCGCTTCTTACGTGGGCTGGGAAAATATTTTCTTTTGTAGGAAGGTTGGTTCGGCCCTCGAGGCATATTTCTGAAAACCAAGGTATGCACTAACCCCTGCCCACGCATGTGTTGCCAAACATTCGATATCCACCGCCTGCCGTCCGCCACCTTGTCTCGCCTGGCTTCGTGCAGCACCGTAGCAGCGTGGTAAGTTCGAACGTACCTTTCAGTGCTCAGCTCTCAAAGCCTTGACCTCCAACAAGCAACGCCCAAATCAAATTAGTGCATACCCGTCCTTCCATTGTTGGTCAAGACTCATGCTGATGCATCTCCCCACACCCCAATAATGTCAACGTCTGCCACCTTATCCATGTCACCCATTCCAGCTAATCAGGCAAGGCGGCGCGCATGCCTCGAATTGAAGGTGAAGATTGGAGTCTGCCGCATAGTTTGCGTAGTTTATTAGTACTGTAGTTGTACATGCATATGTATGTATGTATGAAGTACTTCAGCTGCTGCAAATTTTATTCTATTTTTTGTCTGTTCTTTGAGAATTTTCAAGTATTTTATTGCTCAACTTGGATTTGTCAAGCTCCCCATTCTGTAAGCCGGCACCGGCATTACAAAACATATTATCAAGAAATTTCGAAAGATGGCCCATCTAAATTCTCCCGGGCGTGCACGGACCAGGAGTGCAAGCGGAACTCCCTTACGCACCACGGACGCCCGGCCATCGGCGATGCCAAGCGCTGACTAGTCTCGTTCCCGTCGTTTGGGCAGCGGTCGTGGGCCGTGGGCGATACGCGTGGCCTCCCGGGCCGGACGGAATGTTCCAATTTTTCATCAAACGACGGTAACGAAACTGAGCGCGATAGCATCACGGAAGACTTTGAAAGAGTTTCAGACCTTTCAAGAGCGTTACAGCCAAAACTGATGGCCGTCTGTCCAAAGATCGTGCGAGACTCGCGTTAAAGCGGACACACAGAACGGCGACACGGCAATGGAGTCGGCATTCACCTGATGCAACGGCATTGTGATAAATGAACTCATGACTGACATAAATGGGGCAACTGTCTTTGGGGATAGTTACAGTTGGGCCGAGCTGATATCTCCGGATATTATTAACGGCCGAGATTACACGTCCGGAGTTCCGGAGACCGCCCTGTGGTGCACAAACAGCCGAAAACCAGCTGTACAGGTTAGAATCCGCTAGAAAAACCTTGGAAATTGCGACCCAACAGGAAAATATGACAATAGGGAGACTAGACCGTAAAAGTCCCGGTCGTGCACTAACGGCTTAAATATGATCCGGGAGGTCAGGGGAGCTCCCACAGCGCCCATGAAATGGACCGCGATGGTCAACTTTAGATGTTTTCGATATAAAAAATCAAATTCGGTTAGACCTTCCTTGACGTTTGAAGAGTGAAACCCCCCTACAATTGCGCAATTGCGATTAAGCCTGTCAATCACGCGCCATTTCAAACTCCGTTTCAAGTTCGCTTCAACTATCCGCCGTGCACTGTTGGATGCCGGCGTCCGGCTGTTGTCCACCACTCGAACCTCTCAGAAGTCACGTAGTGGTGCAGTCTGTCCGCGACAATTCAAGTCCGATAAGATCCCAGGCTACTATAAAAATGTCGTTGGGCCGGGTCAGATCCGGATAAAGATCACGCTGCCCACGCCTGATACCACGAGGTAGACTTACGCTTAATCGAGGTGGTGTTGTCAAAACCTCCTCTTACGACTGGATTGACAGATTGCATGTAAAAGTCATGGCGGCCATGACATGGCCGTGAATGGCGCCTCAAATGTAGACAGGTCCAGTCCATGAACTTCGGCCGAGGAGACAGCGGCATGGTATCTTTACGGTAGATCGGTAAGTATCCGTGGGTGTAAATCAAAGCGGCAAACTTTGTATGGCAGATCTGCTGATTGTCGTGTTTTTCTCAGCACAAAGGATATTCGTTTGTACAATGTAAACTCTGCTAAATTCGAATTTCAAAGGGTCATGCGCTCGGGCTCACCAGATCTTGGAGCAGGCCATCAATTTTGACAAATGCCGCCATTGCTCGGCAGCCGCATTGCGGCCTCGTGTCAATCGTTTTTGCTTCGGCGGATCAGAAGACAAATACAAACATTTGCACTGCCACCTCGGCACTTGCGTCTTGCAGCATCGATCGCCGCAAGGGAGTGGCGTCTACGATGGCCAGCAACTTGAAGCGCAAGCGCAGCGCTTCCCCACAGTCGAAAAATAACGCGCATGTACCCATGCCACCTAGCTTCACCGTGAATTCGGTAGTGGGCGTCTCTGGCATCCCCGGCATCCACGGAACGGCACCCAACGAGCCTCCCAGTCTCCCGGAGAAGCAGTCTCGGTTAAAGCAGCAGGAGACGTTTCTCTCAAAATTGTATACGTTAGTCGCCTTAGCTCACCTTCTCTGTCGGTGAAAAAATCTGATCGCCAGGGTCCTCGAAACTTCGGAGCATTGCCAAGTAATCCGGTGGGACGCGTCGGGCGAGCGCATCATCCTCGCGCATCCAAAGCAGCTCGAAGAGCATGTCTTGCCCAGCGTTTTCCGTCAGACTCGACTAGCGAGCTTTTACCGGCAGCTGAATGTACGGGCCGTTTCTGTCATTTTCTCTCTGCTCACACTTGAATTGGGAAAAAAAACAAAATCTACTTAGATTTATGGTTTTTCACGCAAGAGCAACGTCGATCCTGCGATTAAAGACCACGATGCGACGGTCTGGGGTCGGTCGCACGTCCTGCCTTCGTGGCACCCGGGAGCTGACATTTGCACGCTGACAGCTCACGCGACACTTAACCGGACCTCGCCATTAGAGCTGGTCGTCGGTGCTAAGCGGCACGTCACCCCGCGCAAACCCAGAAAGTCTCGCCATGCAACACCGCCCGAATCCAGCACCGAAGACCAAACGCCCGATTCCCAGTCCCGGTCATCGAGCGTGGCAGCCACGCGCGGCCGGCCGGCCAAGAGGCCTAAGACTGGGCCTGGCCCTGGTCCGGCGCCCAGCGACGTCGACGTGTGGTGGCATGGCCATGGGCACTACCCGTCGGCAGCCGCTGATCCGTCTCTGGTGCCACCGTACCCACAGACGTGCGGCAGGTGTGGTACGCGGTCGCCCTCGTGGCTGAAGGGCGGTAATGGCGTGTTTTGCTCCGTCTGCGGACAATATTACGTTGTAGGTCTCTTTGTTTATCGTCTCGTGCACGATGTGATGGTCCTCTTGGCGGAGTTCTCCATACATTGCACCATTTTTTCTCTATTTTTTTCGGCTGAAGATACGACGCTAACATCACCTTTTTCTTTTCCTTTTCCTTCACTCGGGAAGCCGTGGTCGCCGATCCCGAATGGCCCAGCGGGTTCTCCACCACATCATAATGCGAGGTGTGCGTTGTGCGGCGTGACGGACTCACCAAAATGGTGGCTTGGGCCGATGAGCGAGATCTTTTGCGATGCATGTGGGATCAAATACAGCACGGTGCGCGATTTCACTATCTGCACTGCTCCGCGGTCGTTCTTGCCTCTTCCATCTTCCATCTTGATTTAGCGACTAATGTTTTACTGTTCCCTTATAGCATCGCGATGTAGCGCACCCATTGGGCGCCGCAGCCACATCGGTCGCTACTACTCAGGCTCTTTCCGGGTACAATACCGCGGCCTTGACCCATTCCTGGCCCCATTGGCCGCCAAATCCTCAAGCCCCGAGCCACGTAGCACCAGATGTCACCGAGAAATGCGCCAACTGTGGCGCAACAGATGCCGCAGACTCACCGGCGTGGCGCCTAGGCCCGAATCGCGAGCGGTGGTGCAGTCGATGCTCCGCCAATTATATGGTAGACATTTTGGTGTCGCCGTTTGTGCGGGACTGATCACGTTTACTGCTTAGAATAGCACAAGGCTGCCGAACGGCTTTGGGACATGGGGTGCCGCACTCGCACCACCTGCTTGGCCGAGCTCCTTGAGCATGCCTA